ACCTGAGGGCAAGAGTCTGAAACCAGCCTGGCCAACATGGTGAAACCCTGTATCTACTAAAAATACAAAAATTGGCCGGGCGTGGGAGCTAGCACCTGTAATCCCAGCTACTCTGGAGGCTGAGGCAGGGAGAACTGCTTAAACCCGGGAGGTGGAGATTGCAGTGAGCCAGTATCACATCATTGGACTCCGGCCTGGGGGGCAGAGCGAGACTCTGTCTCAAAAAGCAATAAAAATAAATAAAATATAAAATAAAAACTCAAAGCTGTTATCTGCATCTCAGTAAATTAGCTTACTGAATCTACTTTTTTTTTTTTTTTTTTGAGACATGGTCTCGTTCTGTCACCCAAGTGGCAAAATCACAGCTGACTGCAGCTTCCCAGCCTCAGGTGATCCTCCTTGCCTCAGCCTCCCGAGTACTTAAGAATATTTGTGCGTGACATCACACCAGCTAATGTGTTGTTATAGCAGAGATAGGGTCTCACTGTTTCCCAGGCTGGTCTCCAGTGCCTGGCCTCAAGTGATCCTCACACCTCAGCCTCCCAAAGTGCTTGGATTATAGGTATGAGCCATTGTGCCCAAACCTACTTTTCTAGCACATAGCTAAAATCAGCCAGATGAAAAAACTGAAGTTTTGAAGGGTGAGGGGAAGAAAGTAAGAACTAATCTGGAAGATACAGGGTCTCAGAAAAGAAAGTGGCACCTGATATTTACTCAGTTCAAAATTCTTCCTAGGCTGGACATGGTGGCTCATGCTTGTAATCTTAGCACTTTGGGAGGCTGAGATGGACAGATCACTAGGGGTCAGGCATTCGAGACCAGCCTGGGCAACATGGTGAAATTCTATCTCTACTACAAATACAAAAATTAGCTGGGTATGGTGGCACACGCCTGTAGTCCCAGCTACTTGGGAGGCCGAGGCAGGAGAATTGCTTGAACTCAGGGGGCAGAGGTTGCAGTGAGCCAGGATCACCCCATTGCACTGCAGCCTGGGCAACAGAGTGAGACTCCATCTCAAAAATAAAAATAAATTCCTCCCGGGATGGTCATTCCTCCTTTTCCTCTCCCAGACACCAGAGAGGATCCTCTACTCCCATCCTCTCTAAAGCAAGGCTGTCGAGTCCTTAAGTGCCCTGGCCCTTACCCTCATTACAGTTATTCTGCCCTCCCGGAATGTTTGAGTGGTCAAGGCACAGACAGGGAGTGAGAGCAGAGAGCAGTGGGTTTGTCGGGTTGTGGACAAAGAGGAAGGAAGAAATGGATAAATAAAGATGCAGTTAAGAGAGGGACACACAAAGCAGAAGAGAACCAGGAAAACAAGCTTTTACTTGATATGTATCAAAAATGTTACTCAGTTAGTAATTACTGCCTTCTATGCGCTCATCTGCTACAGTTTACAGATCTTCACGCGTTCCTAACCTTTCAACTCCAGCACACACTTTATCTTTAAATCCCAATTTCCCTTTTCACCTATCAGCTGCAGAAAGTATTAAAAGAAACATTTTCAATCATTTTAATTACATTAGCAGTGATTTAATTCCTTTAGATGCTAAACCTTATGGGTGAAACTGAATTAAATGTAGCCAAATGCAATGTCAAAATCTTCAGGCACAAAAACCCATTAACTTTTTAATACTCTCAGAAGATGAACCTAATTTCAAATGAAAGCTGTCTCCAGAATATATTGTTAAGCATATTCTAGATATAATTCATTTTGGCAAATGTTGTGTAGAAATTCACACAACATTTTACTGAACTAAAAGTAAGTTGTCCATGTAACAAAAAATATCTTTTCATAGCTTCAAGTGAATCTTTTTTTTTTTTTTTGAGATGGAGTTTCGGTCTTGTTACCCAGGCTGGAGTGCAATGGCGCGATCTCGGCTCACTGCAACCTCCGCCTCCTGGGTTCAGGCAATTCTCCTGCCTCAGCCTCCTGAGTAGCTGGGATTACAGGCACGTGCCACCATGCCCAGCTAATTTTTTGTATTTTTAGTAGAGACAGGGTTTCACCATGTTGACCAGGATGGTCTCGATCTCTCGACCTCGTGATCCACCCGCCTCGGCCTCCCGAAGTGCTGGGATTACAGGCTTGAGCCACCGCGCCTGGCCACTTCAAGTGAATCTTAAAGGATGACTGACTGTCCTTGGAAGAGAAACAGTAAACAAATAAGGTTTATAGCAATGATGTATGATTTAGAAACTGCAATTCCAGATAATCTCTCTATTAAAGAGACTATTTATACTTAATTTGGTCAATTGTAGTGAACATAGTTGATGTGAAGTCCCTATTCAAATACAACCTGAAATACCAAAGCTAATTTTCTTTTCTTTCTGTCTTTTTTGTTGTTGTTGTTGAGACTGCGTCTTGCTCTGTCACCCTAGCTGGACTGCAGTGGCAAAATCAAGGCTCACTGCAACCTCCGCCTCCTGGGCTCAAGCGATCCTCCTGCCTCAGCTAGAAGGACAGGTGCAAGCTACCACACCCAGCTAATTTTTGTATTTTTGGTAGAGATAGGCTTTCACCACGTTGCCCAGGTTGGTCTCGAACTCCTGAGCACAAGTGATCTGCCCGCCTTGGCCTCCCAAAGTGCTGGGATTACAGGCGTGAGCCACTGCACCTGGCCAGAAAATTTTAAACATGCACAAACTCTTGAGTGGCCTAATTCCCTCTCACCCAATCAACCACAATACAGATAAAAGATAGTTTTTGCACAAACGAAAAAGGCAAATTGTGAATGATGCACGATTTTTAATTACAAGTAAACTGGGCATATTATTTAAAGCTAAAGGGTGGTCAGTGGAAATTTTCCTCTGTTAGTACTTAAATACTTTTCATATTTATCGGCTTACTACAACCTGTGCCTCCCAGGTTCAAGTGATTCTCCTGCCTCAGCCACCTGAGTAGCAGAGACCAAAGGCACACGCCACCATATCTGGCTAATTTTTGTATTTTTAGTAGAGACAGGGTTTCACCATGTTGGCCATGCTGGTTTTGAACTCCTGACCTCAAGGGATCCACCTGCCTTGGCCTTATAAAGTGCTGGGATTACAAGCGTGAGCCACCACACCCAGGATTATTATTATTATTATTATTAAAATCTCTTTTGCTCTCTCTTTCAAGAGAAACCTCATGTCATTCAGTTGCATCCATTTATGCAACTTTGGCCTCCTGGGCTTGAGAGATCCTCCTGCCTCAGCCTCCCAAGTAGCTGGAACTACAGGCTCACACCACCATGCTTGGCTAATTTTTGTGTTTTGGAGAAATAAGCTCTTGTCATGTTGCCTAGGTTGGTCTCAAACTCCTGGGCTCAAGTGATCCACCTGCCTCAGCCTCCCAAAACACTGGGATTATAGCTATAAGCCACCACACCCGGCCCCAAGTACTTTTATACAAAATGCAAACACTGTTCTTCCATTATAAAAGTGATAAAACAGCTTATGTAAAGTTTTGTCATGTACTACTTATAATTACCTTGGGTACACTTTTTGATGTTAAAATGTATCTTATTATGAAAGTTTTTCCATTTTATTAACTACTTTTACAACAATGCAAATAACAAATTATTTTACAAACCATTTAGACATTTCTTTACTCTTGTCCCAATAATGTAAAATATATCATTGTCTATTACATTCAGATAAATTATATACTTGTAAACTATATACTTATGACTTAGAGAAACATAAATAAATTATACAAATTATATGCTCAATTTTTAGGTATACTTAAATTAAGATTAAATATAAATTGTCAAGATAAATTAACAGTTCAGGGCTTCGCAACTTGAAATCCATGAAACAAGACATTGGAAACAACAAAATTGTGGTGCAATTCTTAGGTGAAATTTGCTGAAACTTTTTATTTTTTACATAGAGATGGGATGTTACTATAATGCCCAGGCTGGTCTTGAACTACTGGCCTTAAGTGATCCTCCCACCTCAGCCTCCCAAAGTGCTGGGATTACAGGTATGAGCCATCATATCCAAATGAAATTTCTTGAGATAGTTACATAATTTAAAAATTTGCTGGTGTAGAGGTTAGACAAACTGAATAAATACTAAATATTAGGTCAAGTTTCTCATGTTTACACTATAAAGATGTAATTTAAAGCACTGATTTTCACAAAATAACATAGTGTGAAATTTGAGGTAATTATTTTCCCTGCTACCTCAAGGATTAGAATTCTTCCTTCCTCTGGCATTCACTGTATTTCCTTAAGAATCCCAAATATTTTATTTCATGTATCTGGGAAATGAGGTGCTTTAGTGAACTGAATCTTCTCAAAACTAAAAAGCAATAATTAAAAAGTACTTAACTCAGAAATAACAAAAATATAAGACATCAATAAAATACATTCTATACAGAATACACCAGTCATACTCTACTCCTTTTTGGTAATAAAAAATGTACTTACTGGGCTGGGTGCAGTGGCTCACACCTGTAATCCTAGCACTTTGGGAGGCCAACGCAGGCAGATCAGTTGAGGCCAGAGTTTGAGACCAGCCTGGCCAAAATGACAAAATACCATCTATACTAAAAATACAAAAATGAGCAGGGCATGATGGCAGGCACCTGTAATTAATCCCAGCTACTCTGAAGGATGAGGCAGAAGAATTGTTTGAACCCAGGATGCAGAACTTGCAGTGAGATGAGATCATGCCACCGTACTCCAGGTCTGGGCGACAGAGCAAGTCTATGTCTCAAAACGACAACAACAACAACAAAGGCCAGGCGAGGTGGCTCACGTCTATAATCCCAGCACTTCAGGAGGGAGGCCGAGGTGGAGACTGAGACCATCCTGCCCAAAGCGGTGAAACCCCGTCTCTACTAAAAATACAAAAATTAGCCAGGTGTGGTGGCACGTGCCTATAACCCCACAGGTACTCCGGAGGCTGAGACAGGAGAATCGCTCGAACCCAGGAGGCTGCAGGGAGCCGAGATTGCGCCACTGCACTCCAGCCTGGGCGACAGAGTCAGACTCCATCTCAAATAAGAAAGAAAGAAAAAAGAAAGAAGCAAAGAAAGAAAGAAAGAAGGAAGAAGGACAGAAAGATAGGTGCTGACTAAACTTTAGTATCAAAATAGCAAAAAAATTATTTATGTTTTGGGGAAAGAAATCTGGTTATTAAATCTTCATTTCGATTGAGTTATATGTAAATTAAAATTCAGTATAAGGACTATTTTTTTGGTAGAAAAGTTCACCTGGCCCAAAAATGTTCAGGAGATAACCTGAGATTTTAGAATAGAAATGTAAAGACTCAAAACCAAGTTTCCTGAAACTCGCTTTAAAATATTAGAAATATTAATAATTCTAAAATGCCATTTTGCCACTATCATTCATATTAACCAAAGTATTAGAGAAGTAAAGCTTTCAGACTAAAACAGGAAAAAATGAATACAGTTCACAAATAATCATGGATAATTTAAAAAACAAGTGGGTCAACAAATAGTAGTAATTCCTCCACATGAAGTACATAATTGGCGAATCAAGTATTCAGTCTGCTGGCAATCCTGTATTTTAGGTCAACAATGTGGTCCCTTTAAGAGAGTCCTTGAATTCTCATTTCTCCGGGGACCCTTTGATGGCACTGCTCCCCTTGGTTTGAAAAAAAGGAAGAGCTGACTTGAATGTGCCGTCACCACTCTGCTGGGAAAAACAGAGGAAGATGGCCCAGAGCAAAGAACAGAGCCCCACATAAGCTGTTCTCCACTGAACAGGAACAAGGCTGAAGTTGGTCAGCTGGAACAGACAGAGAGTCCGTGAGGGCCACATGGAAACCAAAGCCCTGAGTTAATATGCCTGAGTAGGCAGAACTCACCTGTACAAAGGGCCAGTACATCAGTCCACTCTGGAATTAAAAAAAAAAACAAAACTTTATTAGAATGTCTTTTATTTTTTGAGGCAGGGTCTCAATCTGTCGCTCAGACTGGAGTACAGTGGCACGATCTCAGCTCACTACAACCTCTGCCTCCTGGGTTCAAGCAATTATCATGCCTCTGCCTTCTGACTAGCTGGAATTACATGCACACACCACTCCACCTGGCTAATTTTTGTATTTTTAGTAGAGACAGGTTTTCACCATGTAGGCCAGGCTGGTCTCAAATTCCCAACCTCAGATGATCCACCTACCTCGGCCTCCCAAAGTGCTGGGATTACAGGCGTGAGCCACCACATTTGGCCTAGAATGCCTTTGAACCACACAAAACAATTGCAGAGTTCAATTCATAAAAAAAGTAAGCAATAGCAGGCCAACAAGATGCCAAGGTAGTATTATATTTGACTAAGCTGATTAAATTAGACTACTCAAGGCCTCTAGAGTGAAGGGGGTTGGGGAATTGTGGGAAAAGAAAGCTATTAGGTACAAGACATTTGTATTAATTTTATATTTAGCTCCAGAATGAAAAGTCTAATAGAATCAGTACCAGTTCTGGAAGACAACTGCTTTGAAAATAATAGCATATATTTATGTATTGTAATTTCCTGGCTACCATGAACAAATGATGCAGGAATATATTTGTAAATACAGAATCATCAATGAATTTTTTTCTTAAATTTTTTTTGAGATGTGGTGTCTATGTTGCCCAGGCTGCTCTCGAATTCCCAGGAAAAAGCAGTAGTCCCCCTACAGCCTCCCAAAGTGCTGGAATTAGAGGCATGAGCCACCTCACTGGCCAAATTTTTTTTTTTTTTTTTTTTTTTTTAAGATGGTGTCTCAATCTGTTGCTCAGGCTAGAGTGTGGTGGTGCGACCTCAGCTCACTGCGACCTCTGCCTCCTGGTTTCAAGCAATTCTCCTGCCACAGCCTCCTGAGTAGCTGGGATTACAAGCGTCCGCCACAATGCCTGGCTAAGTTTTGTATTTTTAGTAGAGACAGGGTTTCACCATGTTGGCCAGGCTGATCTTGAACTCCTGACCTCAGCCTGCCTCCTGATCCACCTGCCTCGGCCTCCCAAAATGCTAGAATTTCAGGCACGAGCCACTGAGCCCAGTCTCAAATTCTTAAAACTATATACCAAACCATGGTTTATGAATGATTTTCTATTAATATATTCAAACCATGTGATGCTATAGGACAAGTTTAGCTGAAATTTTTTAATGCTACAAAATATCTTAGACATTTTAACAAGCTTTATCCTAAGCATTCTGATGAAAAAGTCACCATTATGAACTTTTTAAAAAGAAGCCTTGATATGTAAATTATATCTTAAAAAAAAAAAGCTAGAGGTTTTAAAAATAGTCCTTAAAAGGGAGATTTTCTTCCTTTTCCTTATTTGTATTTTCTGAGGTTTCTAAAATGAACAGTTAAAACAAAAGCTTTATAATATTTATGTTTATATTTAAAAGTAGATAGTATACGGTGGCTCACGCCTGTAATCCCAGCACTTTGGGAGGCCAAGGCGGGTGGATCATGAGGTCAAAGATCGAGACCATTCTGGTCAACATGGTAAAACCCCGTCTCTACTAAAAATACAAAAAATTTAGCTGGGCATGGTGGCGCTTGCCTGTAATCCCAGCTACTCAGGAGGCTGAGGCAGGAGAATTGCCTGAACCCAGGAGGCGGAGGTTACAGTGAGCCGAGATCACGCCATTGCACTCCAGCCTGTGTAACAAGAGCAAAACTCCATCTCAAAAAAAAAAAAATAGATAGTATATATAATATATATTTTATATTTAAAGTATATTTAAAATTTTAAGGCTGAGCATGGTATCTCACGCCTGTAATCCCAGAACTCTGGGGTGCTGAGGCAGGCAGATCACCTGAGGTCAGGAGTTTGGGACCCGCCTGGCCAACATGGCGAAAACCCATCTCTAGTAAAAAAACAAAAATTAGCAGGGCATGGTGGTGAGAACCTGTAATCCCAGATACTTAGAAGGCTGAGGCAGGAGAACTGCTTGAACCCAAAAGGTGGAGGTTGCAGTGAGCCAAGATCATGCCATTGCACTCCAGCCTGGGTGACAGAATGAGAACTCTGTCTCAAAATAAATAAATAAATAAATAAAATTTAAACTTTAGGAAAAATAATCAGAAGACTAAACTAATCCAAACATAGCTTTCCAATTTTCTTTCTTTCTTTCTTTTTATTTTATAGAGACGGAGGCTCCACTATGTTGGCCAGGTTGGTCTTAAACTCTTGGCCCCAAGCAATCCTCCTGCTTCTGCCTCCTGAGGGCATGAGCCACTGTGCCTGACCATGGCTTTATTTCTTATGACTGCATTTTTTTTTTCCTGTCAGAATGTAGTAACAGGTACTAGTATATTTTGTTCTTATACCATTCTCCCATAAAAAGGAATCAGGACTCCTCGGAGAACTGGCTGATGCCAGGGCCAGGGCAGAACAGGGCAGGTACAAGATACAAGGTATAAGACAGTCGAGGAACATACTATCATGCCAGAAAGGAAGTGGCTTACAAAAGAAGAAATGGAGAAAGAAGCTGAATGATGTCATAGGACACAGGAACGAGCTCGGAGGGACTCCCACTGGCCAAATCTGGGACGTGTGAGCACTAAAAATAATTAAACACTGCCGTGAACCCTTCCCTGTGCTTCGGCAATCTCTCTCTGAATAGCCCAAAGACATCTGGCATTCAGCATTTCCCAAACTCAACTCATCTCATTTTTTTTTTTTTTTTGGCTCCCTTTTCTCTGTGTCCTAAATGAAGTGATGAACCAGCACCCATGTAGTTGCTTAAACTAGAACCGTGGGCTTCCTAAAGGTGTCCTGAATCCGTTACCCCTACTTCCGATCAATCATTCCGACCCACTCATTCTACCTTCTTAAATATCTCTCAAACCTTTCCTATGCCCACTGCTTTCTTATTTCTTTTACATATATATATATTTTGTTGTTGTTGTTTAATTTTTTTGAGAGTCTCTCCCTGTTGCCCAGGCTGGAATGCAGTGGCGTGATCTCGACTCACTGCAACCTCCACCTCCTGAGTTCAAGTGATTCTCGTGCCTCAGCCTCCCAAGTAGCTGGGACTACAGGTGTGCACCACCACACCCAGTTAACTTTTGTACTTTTGGTGGACACGGTTTCACCATGTTGGCCACACTGGTCTCAAACTCCTGACCTCAAGTGATCCACTTGCCACAGCTCCCCAAAGTGCTGGGATTACAGGTGGAAGCCACCGCACCTGGCCAGTTTTATTTTTTTTAAATAAATACCGACAGGGTCTTGCTATGTTGCCTAAGCTGGTCTTGAACTCGTAACCTCAAGGGATCCTTCTCCCACAGCCTCCCAAAATGCTAGGATTACAGGCGTGAGCTAGTAATCCACACACAGCGTGCTTCCTTATTTCTTATGTGAGCTTGGTTACATAAGAAATGTAACTTTGGTTTCCTTTGCTGCCATTATCTGAGGGTGAAGTTCAAGATCCTCAGCTCGGGGCATTCAACAGTCTCCAGGAACCAAACTCATTCCAAGTTGCTCAGCAAATGCTCTGTGAACACCAAACTGCCTGTGGTTTCTCCCCTCCAGGCATACCACGGTGCTTTACATATTGTCGACTCTACTCAGCTCCTTCTGTCCCTGGGATACCCTGTCCTCCACTATGTGTGTAATTATAGCTTTTTATTTATTTATTTATTTTTTTTGAGACAAGGTCTCACTCTGTTGCCCAGGCTGGAGTGCAGTGGCACAATCATAGCTCACTGCAGCCTCAGCCTCCTGGGCTCAGGAGATCCTCCCACCTCGGCCTCCTGAGTAGCTGGGACTCCTGAGTAGCATGGTGCGAGCCACTATGCCCAGCTCACTTTTGTGTTTGTAGAGATGAGGTTTTGTTGTCATGTTGCCCGGGCTGGTCTCAAACTCCCCAACTGAAGCGATCCACCCACCTTGGCCTCCCAAAGTGATGGGATTACAGGCATGAGCCGCTGGTGCCTTGCCCCAGCAAGACTTCCTGGATCCCCAACCCTACACCTCCTCATTGTGCTAAGGACCCATGGGCTCTGAGAGCATTTCTCGTGGAATTCTAGTTAATGACTTGTCTATTTATCTATCTATCCCACTAGAATCTAAGTCCCTTTAGGACGGAATCTGTGTTTTATATGGTTTTTTGGGTTTCTTCCACAAACCCCTAGTACAGCACCTGGAAGACAGTTTCTTATTACAGCAAATCTTCCCCAAAAATCTCCAAATGGGCTGGGCTTCAGACTGCTGGTATACCCTCTTTCTTTTCATGAGGGTAGATGAGACTCACTCACTGTAACCACGATTTTTTTTTTAAACAGTATGCAAATGTTCCCATGGCTCTGTTCATCATTTACAAATCCTTGCCTGAAGCTTCTTTCTTTCTTTTTTATTTTTTGAGACAAAGTCTTGGTCTGTCGCTAGGCTGGAGTGCAGTGGTGCAATCTTGGCAACTGCAACCGCCGCCTCCCAGGTTCAAGCAGTTCTCCTGCTTCAGCCTCCTGAGTAGCTGGGACTACAGGCGTGTGCCACCATGCCCAGCTAATTTTTTTTGTATTTTAGTAGAGACGGGGTTTCACGAAGTTGGCCAGGTTGGTCTTGATCTCCTCACCTTGTGATCTGCCCACCTCAGCCTCTCAAAAGTGCTGGCCTGAAGCTTCTTTCTTTCCCAATTCTACTTCCTTCTCTCTCTCTCTCTCTCTCTCTCTCTCTCTCTCTTTTTCTTTTGAAACAGGGTCTCACTCTGTCATTCAGGCTGGAGCCCAGTGGTACAATCATGGCTCACTGCAGCCTCAGTCTCCCAGGCTTATGATCCTCCCATCTCAGCCTCCCAAGCAGCTGGGACCAGAGATGAACGCCACTATGCCCAGCTATTTTACTTTATTGTGGTAGAGATGGGGTCTCACTATGTTGTGCAGGCTGGTCTCAAACTCCTGGACTCTAGTGATCCTCCTGCCTCAGCCTCCCAAAGTGCTGGGATTACAGGTGTGAGCTGCCTACTTTCTTGCTCTTAAAAAAAAAAAAAAAGTTAGCTGTACATATCTCTATAGACTTTACAACATAATGGAAAAGCTTGTTCCTTTTTCCAAACTAAAACAGAAGAAGTTGACTGGGTGTGGTGGTTCACGCCTGTAATCCCAGAACTTTGGGAGGCTGAGGCAGGCGAATCACCTGAGGTCAGGTGTTCAAGACCAGTCTGGCCAACATGGTGAAACCCTGTCTCTACTGAAAAATAAAAAAATTAGCTGGACGTGGTTGTGCAAATCTGTAATCCCAGCTACTCAGGAAACTGAGGCAGGAGAATTGCTTGAACCGGGAGGCAGAGGTTGTAAAGAGCCGAGATGGTGCCACTGTACTCCAGCCTAGGAGACGGTATGAGACTCTGTCTTCAAAAAAAAAAAAAAACCAAACAAACAAAAACAGAAGAAAATCACATTTGGTTGTCAGCATGGGGTCCTCAATTTCTGCCCCAAGAGAAATCTCAAGAGTTCTGAACACATTCCTTGTAGTTACTGTTCCCACGTATAGAGGCTCAGGGGAAGCCTCTGGCTTCAAACCTCTCCATCCTCTGCGTCTTGCCATCAAGTGATGCTTGCTCAGGGGCTCGGTACCATCCAACAGATGATTCTAGAAGCTGTACAGGTAATAGGTAGTTGTGGCTCAACACTGCTTTTGATAGGGAATGAAGAACATGTGAAGGCCTAGGCCAGTCTGTGTACATTCTGGAATCCCAAAGATTCATCTCCTTGTGATCAATGCAATTGAACATGCTCTAGGGCAGAGAGGAAAATCAACCCTGATTTTGCCAGGCCTTAGGACACTGTTCAATAAATCTTAACTGAATACATACGTATTGGACTGGATTGTATATGTTTGTACTGAGCAAAAAGTCAGAAATCATTGAGCACATGGACTAAAATGCATAGATAGTATGCATTTTTTTGAGATGGAGTCTCGCTCTGCTGCCCAAGCTGGAGTGCAGTGGTGCGATCTCGGCTCACTGCAACCTCTGTCTCCAGGTTCAAGTGATTCTCCTGCCTCAGCCTCCTGAGTAGCTGAGATTACAAATGTGCACCCCCATGCCCAGCTAATTTTTGTATTTTTAGTAGGATGGGGTTTCACCATGTTGGCCAGGCTGGTCTCAAACTCCTGACCTCAGGTGATCCTGCCTTGGCCTCTGAAGGTGCTGGGATTACCGGCATGAGCCGCTCTGCCCAGCCTGGAGATAATATTTCTTTCCAATTCATGAAAAGTATAGATACTCTTAAAGCCTCTCCTCATTCATCTATCAAAATAACTAAGATTTCTCTGTCAAAATATTGGACCCTTCTGCCAGCCAAACTGGAGCTGTAATTTAAGAATTTGTTTTATTAAAATGTACTTAATGTTGAGATGGGAGGATTGCTGAAGCACAGGAGTTTGAGGCCAGCTTGGGCTATATAGTGAGACTCTGTCTCTACCAAAAAATTTAAAAATAATTAGCTGGGTGTGGTGGCACATGACTGTAGTCTCAGCTGCTCAGGAGGCTGAGGTGGGAGAATTGCTTGAGCTCAGGAGGTTGAGGCTGCAGTGAGCCATGATCACACAACTGCATTCTAGCGTGGGTAACAGAACGAGACCCTGTCTCAAAAAAAAATTGTTTATTAAAAAAAAATAGGCCGGGCGCGGTGGCTCAAGCCTGTAATTCCAGCACTTTGGGAGGCCGAGGCGGGTGGATCACGAGGTCAAGAGATCAAGACCATCCTGGTCAACATGGTGAAACCCCGTCTCTACTAAAAATACAAAAAATTAGCTGGGCATGGTGGCGAGTGCCTGTAATCCCAGCTACTCAGGAGGCTGAGGCAGGAGAATTGCCTGAACCCAGGAGGCGGAGGTCGCGGTGAGCCGAGATCGCGCCATTGCACTCCAGCCTGGGTTACAAGAGCGAAACTCCGTCTCAAAACACACACACACACACACACACACACACACACACACACACACACAAGTGTTTGTACGCAGAGAACCCTGATATGATTAGACATGTGTACTGAATGATCACGTGTGTACTGAATTATCTGCATATATGTGTCAATTAAAAAAATTTTATATCCTTATAAACACATACATATACACCCAAAAAGATACTGATTATACTTTCAAAAGCCTGTCTTACCATATAGGTATTCCAGAATTTCTGTTTCAGGTCCAAAAATATGTCATCCTTTCCCTGGAGAATGCTCATACCTATTTGCAAAAAACACCAAAAGAATTTTAAGAGATTCATAAGAGTACTGTATAACAGTTCATGTTTAAGTCTCCCATTCCAATATGCAAAGTAACCATCACTAACATCCATCAATGACCGTTCTGACCCTACAGTGAAAAGAACATAGCCGGGTGTAGTGCCTCATGCCTGTAATCCTAGCACTTTGGGAGGTCAAAGCAGGGCAACATGGTGAAACCCCATCTCTACAAAAAATTCCAAACTTAGCCAGACGTGGTGGCACACCTGTTAGTCATAGCTACTCAGGAGGCCAAGGTGGGAGGATTGCTTGAGCCTGGGAGGTGGAGGCTACAGTGAGTTGTGATAATGTCACTGCACTCCAGCCTGGGCAACACAGCAAGGCCCTGTCCCAAAACAAAAAAAAGAACATAATCTGCATTCTAAAACTAGGTAAATTTTAAAGGAATGATAAATACAAATCGAGAATAGCAGAGTATAAAAGTTACAGGAAAACAATTACTAAAACAAACAAGTTACAATAGTGGGTCTATTGGTGACTTTACCTTCCAAACATTTTGTGAAATGCTGAAATTTAATTTCTATCTTTAAAAAAAAGCCAGTGGGCCAGGTGTGGTGGCTCATCCCAGCACTTTGGGAGGCCAACATGGGCAGGTGAGGTTGGGAGTTTGAGACCAGCCTGACCAACATGGAGAAACCCTGTCTTTTTTTTTTTTTTTTTTTTTTTTTTTGAGACGGAGTTTCGCTCTTGTTACCCAGGCTGGAGTGCAATGGCGCGATCTCGGCTCACCGCAACCTCCACCTCCTGGGTTCAGGCAATTCTCCTACCTCAGCCTCCTGAGTAGCTGGGATTACAGGCACGCGCCACCATGCCCAGCTAATTTTTTGTATTTTAGTAGAGACGGAGTTTCACCATGTTGACCTGGATGGTCTCGATCTCTTGACCTCGTGATCCACCCGCCTCGGCCTCCCAATGTGCTGGGATTACAGGCTTGAGCCACCGCGCCCGGCTGAGAAACCCTGTCTTGACTAAAAATACAAAATTTGCTAGGCGTGGTGGTGCATGCCTGTAATACCAGCTACTTAGGAGACTGAGGCAAGAGGATTGCTTGAACCCAGGAGGCGGAAGTTACAGTGAACCAAGATCACACCACTGCACTCCTGACTGGGTGACAGAGCGAGATTCCATCTCAAAAAAATTAAAATAGGGCCAGGCGCGGTGGCTCTAGCCTGTAATCCCAGCACTTTGGGAGGCCGAGGCGGGTGGATCATGAGGTTAAGAGATTGAGACCATCCTGGTCAACATGGTGAAACCCCGTCTCTACTAAAAATACAAAAAAGGCCGGGCGCGGTGGCTCAAGCCTGTAATCCCAGCACTTTGGGAGGCCGAGGCGGGTGGATCACGAGGTCGAGAGATCGAGACCATTCTGGTCAACATGGTGAAACCCCGTCTCTACTAAAAAAAAATACAAAAAATTAGCTGGGCATGGTGGCACGTGCCTGTAATCCCAGCTACTCAGGAGGCTGAGGCAGGAGAATTGCCTGAACCCAGGAGGCGGAGGTTGCGGTGAGCCGAGATCGCGCCATTGCACTCCAGCCTGGGTAACAAGCGCGAAACTCCGTCTCAAAAAAAAAAAAAATTAGCTGGGCATGGTGGTGCGTGCCTGTAATCCCAGCCTCAGGAGGCTGAGGCAGGAGAATTGCCTGAACCCAGGAGGCGGAGGTTGCAATGAGCTGAGATAGCGCCATTGCACTCCAGCCTGGGTAACAAGAGCAAAACTCCGTCTCAAAAAAAAAAAAAAAAATTAAGTATTTTTTTATTTAGTGGACCCAAATATTCTGGCAACTACAAATTTCCCATCGGTATTACCCTAATCAAAATTTGAAAGTGGAACATCAATTCAGCCTTCCTAAAAACACTTTGAAAACTTTGATCTTCAATATCCCTGAAGAGAAATTCACAGCCTGGGTAATACATTAAGACCTTGTCTCTACAAAACAATTTAAGAACCAGTCAGGTATGGGAGTGCACACCTGTAGTCCCAGCTACTCCAGAGGCAGAGGTGGGAGGATCACTTGAGCCCAGGAAGTCAAGGCTGCAATGAGCTGTGATCACATCACTGCACTCCAGCCTGGGGAATAGACTGAGACCCTGTCTCAAAAAGAGAAAAGGGGAAAAAAAAAGAAAAAGAAATTCAGGTAGCAAGGCAAAGCTCTTGTATTTTAGGAAGGGTTGTAAAACTCAGAGTACTTTAAAAATTCTTTCCAATCCCTGATTACAAAGGAGGGGAAATAGGAGCTTTATTAGTTAATTCCAGAAGATTCTTACATGACCTAGCAAAATACCGGTAATACTGTGTTTCACTTACCCAGCATTAATTAAATGCTAAGTACTTTATGCGCCTCATTTCATGTTCCTTTCCTTACAACTTGCTTATGTACGTAGAGTTACAAAGGAGGAAAAGAGCTTAGCGAGGTTAATAGCAGACAGTTTAACCCAGGTGTCCCATTCCCAAGCAGAGCTCTTCATGTTACGAATCAGGTTCCCCAAGGTGGCCCCAGCACAAAGATCATCTGATTCATGCAATTTTCAAGTAGAGTCTTACACAAACCTCCAATCCATCCCTCTCTACTTCCCCCTTCACTGTAAGAGAAGATGAGGATAACTGAACTAGAAAATACTGAAAACCAAAGCAAAGTAGCAATCTGGCCAGGGATCTGTATTAGAGACCTCGGCCTGGACATAGGTTCAAGTCTTGTTAGTTACTCAGCACCTTTCAGTCCAGGCACACTGTCAACCTTTCCACCATGAAAGCATCAAGTGCCTGGATTGTGTTCTCTTTGGGTGAGTCACATAACCCTTCTGAAACTCAGTTTCCTCATTTGTAACATGAGAATTATAAGAGTAGTCTCAGGTGTGGTGGCTCAGGTCTATAATCCCAACACTTTGGGAGCAGGTCACTTGAGGTCAGGAGTCCGAGACCAGCCTGTCCAACACGGTGAAACCCCGCCTCCATTAAAAATACAAAAATTAGCCGGGCATGGTGGTGTGTGTCTGTAATTCCAGTAATTCGGTAGGCTTAGGCAGGAGAATTGCTTGAACTCAGAGCGGGCAGTGAGCCGAGATCAGGCCACTGTATACTCCAGACTGGATAATAAAGCAAGAGTCTGTCTCAAAAAAAGAAAAACCACATACACACACAGAAAAAAGAAAAAGAGAGAACAATCTCACTGGTCTTTGAGGATTAAATAGGATTCTGGTCCCCTACCCCTTCACCAGTATGCAAGGCTTCTGTAACGTGTGCTAGGAAGCAGTTTGCAAATCCAGTCTGGAAATCATACCCTGGAACCAGGCGCAGACCTTCCGATAAAACAGGAGGCCCTAGCTCTTAGGCTGTCTGTTCTCCTGACCCACTGACCCCATCAGCCCATGTAGCTGGCTGCAGTGGCAATAGGTAATCAGGTCTTTTGTGTTTCTGGTGGGGTCTGTTGGGAAAAGAAATGAATTTGACTCTTAAAAATAAGGCTTAGGGGGCAGAGTAGGTTTCTTCAAGACGGTGGCTTGCCTGACCTCAACCTGGTATTAGAAAGCATCGACAGCCCTTAGGAAAAGTCCTCTCCGATTTGGGGGGAAATTTGTGATCCCCAATCCCAAGGTCAGGCTTAAGACCCATAGAGCTTTTCTCCCCAGTCACCCACCCCAACCCCTTCAAGGCTATAGAAATTGCGATGATGATAGAGGCCATAGGGCTCTTTCTGTAAGCAGACAGGGAGGATCTCCAAAGATTACTGGAATTTAACCAACTTGAGCAATCCGCCTGTTTTACAGCCTCCTGCCCTCAACCTGTCCTTCCCCAACCCTGGGTGGAATGAGGACACCTTGTTTGTTTAAACCAGCTCCAACGGGCGAGGTGGCTCATGCCTGTAATCCCAGCAGCTTGGGAGGCTGAGGCGGGTGGATTGCCTGAGCTCAGGACTTTGAGACCAGCCTGGGCAACATGGTCAAATCCCATCTCTACTAAAAATATAAAAATAAATTAGCCAGGCATGACACGAGAATCGCTTGAACCTGGGAGGCAGAGGCAGGAGAATCGCTTGAACCCAGGAAGTAGAGGTTGCAGTGAGCCAAGATCACACCACTGCACTCAAGCCTGGGCAACAGAGCAAGACTCTGTCTCCAAAAATAAAAAAAATAAAAATAAAAAAAATTTAAAAATCCAGCTCCTAACTGAACTCAGGTTACTTATAGATGAACCCAAGTTAACTCTCCTCATTACCATTCTAAAGTCTTCACCCCAGGAGAAGCTATAGCTTCATGACTGTAACACACAACCTGTGTACTAACATGATGACTCACTGCATCTGCGCCACTGGGACCCCTACTCTACATGCAGTCATGTACCCTCACATTCTCGGCTCTCCATCATCCCATAAAACCCTCCTGCCTCTTTCTCTAGGGGACACGCTGCTTTGGAGAATACACTCAGTGTCTTCTTTACTCGTGCCAAGTAATAGAACTCCCATTGATCAAAACCTGCCTCTTGGTGGAGTCGTTTGTGACTCCTTAGGGGAAGGAGCCCTGTTATTTTTCAGGTAACATTTCTACTGTTCTTATTTTAGGTAGTGGAGAAGGTATCCAACGTCAATCCCTTGTCCCCTACACCCCGGGCCAGGGTCGGATATTTTAAGGAGAGGGTTCCCTGAACCCTCACAGGTATATAGCAGGAATACAAGGTCCCCTGTTTTCCGTGGGACCCCAGGGGAAAATCTTGTTACCAAAGCAGGACTAGGACGTTGGGCATGAATTTTCGGAGGATCCAGGCATCATCTCACATCCCACCTGCGCGGTACCCTTGCATTTTGTTCCTCTGTTGACCCTGGAGCCCCAGGCGTGGATTTTCTGAACAGCAGGTGGGTCCCTTCCCTTCCCCACGACTGGTTCACGGTCTTTGCAGCTGTTACGGCGTCGAGCTGAGATTTCCTCGATTTTCCCGTGGGCCTTTTTCAGGCGGAAAAGCCCTCCCCAGCCCTGCCTACCTCCGGCTTTGGCCTACACCCGATCCCAGAGTCAGCGCTGACCCTAGTCCCCTCAATTCCTGGCCCGGGGGACCTCTGGCTCCCAATTTCCGGGCTCCCCCGCCAGTGCCCCCCACCCCGGCTTCTCCTCCTCAAACACCCCAGCCTGCAGCCCTTGCCCCGGCTCGCTCCCGCTGAGGCAGCCGCGGTCTCGGAGCCCCAGCTCCTGCCCGCGTCCCTGCAGCGCCCTCACTCCAGCCACTTGGTCTCCAAGTCCCTGCCTCCAGCACCCCAACGCTGGGTCCCCCTCCCAGCCCCTCACCGACGTAGAAGGCCGAGACAGCGACGGGCGCGCCCACCACCTGGTCGCACAGCACTTTGGCCAGCACGGTGCGCGGCGCGCGGCCCGGGAGCGCGCGCTCCAGCAGGCCCAGCCACACGTAGTTGAAGTTGGCGTGGAACGTGGCCGTCACGGTGGCCACGCGCCGCGTCTGGCGCCAGTCGGCCTGGGCGCCCCGCAGCCGCTGCTGCAGCGCGTCCCCGGACGAGAAGAGCGCGGCGTAGAGCAGCACGTTGGTGGGCCACGGGTGGCGCCGGGCCGCGCGCGACAGCGCCCGCCACCAGCCCGCCATGTCCGCGCCGCGGGCTCCCGCGTACCGGCCGCCCGCGCCCGCGCCCGCCTCCCCCGGACGCTCCGGAGCGACTGGGCGCCGCGCACACCCCGCCGCGCCGCCCAATCCGGAGGCCACGGGCCGACGTGGGGGCCGAGCGTTCGGAAGGGGCGCGGCCCACCCGCGGCTGGGGGCCGTTCGCGCCGAACACCCGGGACAGGCGAAGCCAAGAGGCAGGAGGTATGGGGGTTATTCATTTATCGTTGTTGTAGTTGCTGATTCGGAGTCGGAGTCTCGCGCTGCCGCCCAGGCTAGGGTGACGTGACGCGGCCTCGGCTCACCGCAACCTCCGCCTCCCGGGTTCAAGCTCTTCTCCCGCCTCGGCCTCCCGCGTACCCGGGACTGCGCGTGCGCCGTCCCGCCCGGCCCACGTTTGCACTTTGAGCCGAGAAGGGGTTTCCACGTGTCGGCCAGGCTGGTCTCAGGTGATCCGTCCGCCTCGACCTCCCATACGGGGTTATTTTTTGCAGTGATTTTGAAATTAGATAGGTGTGATGGTTGCATGGTTTTGCGAATAGATTAAAAAACCATTGAATTGTACCCTAAAAAAGGGTGCATTTGGCCGGGCGCTGTGGCACATGACTGTAATCTCAGCACTTCGATAGGATTACACAGGAGGAACGGTTGAGGCTAGGAGCTTCAGATCAGCCTGGGCAACACAGGAAGACCCCGTTTCTACGAAGAAAACAATCTTACAAGAAATCATTGTGATTTGTCAGGTTTCAGGTTTGGTGGTGCGCACTGAAAGTCTCAACTCCCGCTACTTGGGAGGCTGAGGTGGCAGGATCGCTTGAGCCCAGGAGTTCAAGGCTGCAATGAGCCACGATAGGGCCACTGCACTCCAGCCTGGAAAAGGGGGGTGGAGAGAGAGAGAGAGAGAGAGAGAGGAGAGAGACAGAGAGAGAGAGAGAGAGAGATGAAGGGATAGCAAAGGTTGACTTGTGCCTGTAATCTTGGCATTTTGGGAGGCTGAGGCGTGCGGATCAGCTGAGGTTAGGAGTTCGAGACCAGCCTGGCCAATATGGTGAAACCCTGTCTCTAAAAATATGAAAGTTAGCTGAACGTGGTGGCAAGCGCCTGTAATCCCAGCTACTCGGGAGGCTGCGGCAGAAGAATCGCTTGAACCCGGGAGGCAGAGGTTGTAGTGAGCAGATTTCGCCATTGCACTCCAGCCTGGGCAACAAGGGCAAACCTCCGTCTTTAAAAAAAAAAAAATGTTGACAGACCAATAATTCACATTTGCAACACACAGAATACACTGAACTGATTGTGTGACTTTCCTCTAGAGAAAATGTCAAAAGTTACAATTTGAGGGATTTTATGAATGTGAGACGAGGCCCAGTCTGCCTTCCCTTCTTCAGTTTGCGCCTCAATGATTGTCATTTCCCAAAACATACGCTGAGCTCCCAGCTTCCAGGCACTGTCCCAAGCAGCAGACACGGTGGAGTCTGTCACCTTACAGAACTCATTTTTGTCTTTGCTTCTTTCTTTCTTTTCTCTTTCTTTTTTCATTTTGTGATATAGGTCTTACCCTGCTGCCCAAGCTGAAGTGCAGTGGTGCAATCATGGCTCACTGCAACCTTAAACTCCTGGGCTCAAGGGATCTTCCTGCCTCAGCCTCCTGAGTAACCGGGACTACAGTCACCTGCCACCATGCCTGGCTAATTTTGTAGTTTTTTTTGTACAGACAGGGTCCTGCTATGTTCCCCAGGCTGGTGTGAACTCCTGGCTTCCAGCCATCCTCCTGCCTTGGATTCTCTAAGTGCTGGGATTCTAGGCATGAGCCACCATGTCCAGCTTTTCCTGCCTTTTTTTCTCCTCTTTCACAGTCACATCCAAACCTGTTCTCTCTCCCTCACTTCCTCTTCTCTATTAACCCTACATTTATTTAGTTTTTAATTTTTTTTTTTACTTTTAATGATTGCATTTATTTATTTTTGAGAGAAGGGTCTCACTATGTTGCCCAGGTGGGTCTTGAACTCCAGTGCTCAAGCGATACTCCCACCTCAGCCTCCCTAGTAGCTGGGCTACAGGCACATGCCACCAAATCAAGCTCTGATTTTTAACATTTTCCTTCCTTCCTCCCTCCCTTCCTTCTTCCTCCCTCCCTTCCTTCTTCTTTCTTTCTTTCTTTTTTTTTGAGGCAGACTCTTGCTCTGTTGCTCAGGCTATAGTGCAGTGGCAAGATCTTGGCTCACCGCAACCTCCACCTCCCAAGTTCAAGCAATTCTGCCTCAGCCTCCCGAGTAGCTCGGACTACAGGCAGGTGCCACTGTGCCTGGCTAATTCTGGTATTTTTAGTAGGGACAGGGTTTTGCCATGTTGGCCAGGCAGGTCTCGAACTCCTGTCCCCAGCTGATCTACCGGCCTTGGTATCCCAAAGTGCTGAGATTGCAGGCATAAGCCACCATGCCTGGCCTTGATTTTTAACTTCTAATTTTGCTTGAAATAACTGCAGACTTTGAAAGAAGATGCAAAAACAGTACAAAGAGTTATCGCATGCTCTTCACCCAAGCTTCCCAAAATATTGACATGCACCTGCACCTGACCAGAGTCCAATGATCAAAACAAGGAAATAAGCATGGAGATTATGTGTTTACCTAATCTGCAGATCTTATTCAAATGATCACTGTTTGTCACCCTAAGTTCCTTTCTTCCCAGTCTGGCCTCCAATCCCAGATCTCTTTGCATTATGTTGAACTATCAAATGGCCTTAGTCTCCAAGCAAGACCACTAACCAGTTATTTTGTAGGCTGTCCCTCAATTTCTCAACCCAGTTTAATGATGCCCTCCAAAATTCATATGTTGAAGCCCTAATTTCCAGTACCTCAGAATGCGACTGCGTTTGAAGATAGGGCCTTTAAGTGGAAAGTGAGACATTTAGAATGGGCTGTAATCCAATCTGTCTGGTGTCCTTATAAGAAGAGGAAATTTGGGGCCAGGTTCAGTAGCTCACACCCGTAATCCCAGCACTTGAGGAGGCGAAAGTGGGAGGATCGCTTAAGATCACGAGTTCAAGACCAGCCTGGTCAACATGATGAAATCCCATCTTGACTAAAAATACAATAATTAGCCTGGTGTGGTGGCCTGTAATCTCAGCTATTCAGGAGGCTAAGGCAGGAGAATCGCTTGAACCCAGGAGAGGAAGGTTGCAGTGAGCCAAAATCGTGCCATTGCACTATAGCCTAGGTGACAGAGCAAGATTTCATCTCAAAAAAAAAAAAAAAAAAGGAGGCCGGGCGCGGTGGCTCAAGCCTGTAATCCCAGCACTTTGGGAGGCCAAGGCGGGTGAATCATGAGGTCAAGAGATCGAGACCATCCTGGTCAACATGGTGAAACCCCGTCTCTACTAAAAATACAAAAAATTAGCTGGGCATGGTGGCGCGTGCCTGTAATCCCAGCTACTCAGGAGGCTGAGGCAAGAGAATTGCCTGAACCCAGGAGGCGGAGGTTGCGGTGAGCCGAGATCGCGCCATTGCACTCCAGCCTGGGTCACAAGGGTGAAACTCTGTCTCAGAAAAAAAAAAAAAAAAAAGGAAATTTGAACACACAAAGAGGTACCAGGGCCAGGCATGGTGCCTCACACCTATAATCCCAGCCCTCTGGAAGGCCAAGGCAGGAGGATCACTTGAGCTCAGGAGTTCCAAACCAGCCTGGACAATACAGCAAGCCCTTGTCTCTCTCTTTTTCTTTTAATTTGAAAAATAAAGGAATAAATGAGGCACCCAGGAAAGACCATGTGAAGATGCAGCAAGAAGGCAGACGTGTGAAAGCAACCTAGCAGTCACTCGGCTCTTAGACTTCTTGCCTGCAGAACTGTGACAAGTAAATTTCTTTTTTCTTTCTTTCTTTCTTTTTTTTTTTTTTTTTTTTTTTGAGATGGGGAGTCTTGCTCTGTCACCAAGGCTGGGGTGCAATGGTGGGATCTCAACTCACTGCAACCTACGTCTCCCAGGTTCAAACAATTATCCTGCCTCAGCCTCCGAAGTAGTGACATTACAGGCGTGTGCCACTACTTTCTGCTAATTTTTGTTTTTTTTTTTTTTTTTAGTTCTAGACCAGTTCTAGACCTGGTTGGTCTAGAACTCCTGACCTCAGGTGATCCACCCACTTGGCCAAAGTGCTGGGATTATAGGCATGAGCCACCATGTCTGGCCGAGCAAAGAAATTTCCATCGTCTAAGCCACCCTGTGTGTGCTATTTTGTTATGGCAGCTCCAGCAAACTAATATATCCATTCTTTTCAGTTCTTGGGAATCTGCCCATTTCTATACCCTCTGACCCTTTTTATCTGCCCATCTGTTGATTTCTAGCCTTTTCCCTTCCCTATCCTTGTTACTGGTCCCAAGTAAATTTCTGTTAGATTTCTCCCAGCTGGGCAAGCTTCCAGCTCACCAGAACATCTCCTTGTATTCCCTTTGTATCATTTTTCCATTGTCAAGGTAATAAGTTACCACAGATTTAATGGCTTAAAAGAACACAAATTTCTTGTCTTAGAGTTTGGGGTGTTAGGGTCTAAAATCGATCGCTGGGCTGCATTCCTCTTGGAGATCCAAGGAGAGTCCATTTCCTTGCCTCTTCCAAGCTTCTAGATGCTCCCTGCACTCGTTGGCTCTTCATCCAACATCTTCAAAGTCAGTAGCATAGAATCTTTTTTTAGACAAGTTTTCACTCTGTCACCCAGGCTGGAACACAGTGGTACAGTTATAGCTCGCTGCAGCCTCAAATCCCCAGGCTCAAGTGATCCTCTCCCCTCAGCCTCGCGAGTAGTGTGACCACAGGCAGGCACCACCACACCTGGGTAATTTTTAATTTTTTGTAGAGACAGGGTCTTGCAATGTCACCAGGGCTATCTTGAATTCTTGGCCTCAAGCGATCCTCCCACCTCAGCCTCCCCACAGTGCTGAGATTACAGGTGTCAGCCATTGCACCCAGCCACATAGCCTTTTCTGACCTTGTAGAGACATGGTCTTGCTATGTCTCC